TGAAGCTATTGATACAGCTGGCCGATGGCTTTTGTGAAAAGGGGCATGCCCATGCAGCAGAGATAAAAAAATGTGTCACTGCGGTAGATAAGAGGTACAGAGATTTCTCTCTGCGGATGGAGAAGTACAGGACCTCTTTGGAGAAAGCCCTGGGGATTTCTTCCGATTCCAACAAATCGGTGAATTGTTTTGTACAGACTGAACAAGTTATGACCCTCTCGTTGTCCTCTTCGCTTTTGGAATTAACTGGCTTCCTTCACTCATTCCACAGAGTAAAAGTCTTCAGCTTGATATCATCCCAGCCAGTGTCCCCGGGTCAGAGGTGAAGCTTCGTGATGCTGCTCATGAGCTCAATGAAGAGAAGCGGAAGTCCGCCCGCAGAAAAGAGTAAGCCAGTGTCTAAGAACCTCCCAGGATTCACTGCAAAAGTGAAGGAGATGTGGTTTGCACACGCTGGCTTCTGTGTGTACAGTGCAGTTAGCTCTGAGCTGCTCTGAGTATGTTTAGTTTTTGCAGTACAGACTTTGCTGTGCAGACTGTCCGCTAATCCCTTGCTCAGCCTTGTGTTGTCCTTGTGCCGCCTCCTCCTATGGGAAGCTGATGTAGTGTATTTAGAAGATGCCAGTCATAAACTAGACTATAAACAAATAAGGATTCCCTTCCCAGAGGCACTTTTGTCCTCCATGGCCACTCAACAACTGAGGAGAGATTGGAGCCGTCATATTTGGCAGGGTGGCAGTTGTCATCTGAGGGAAGCCAGGGAAGCTGGTGAGGACCTGCAGCCCCACCACACAGAGTCACTGCCCAGCCGCCCGAGTACTGAGTGGAGAAACCCTGACCTGTCCGTACCTCAATAAGATGATTTCAGAAATCTTTTTTTCTCTTTTGAGTTGGTGGCCAGACACTAGTGATTGTCCATTCTTGGTTTATTCTCCAAAGCCAGTATTGAGTCCTAATGACTTTAGAGCCTCCTTATTTGCTAATCTCTGTGAAAGTGGAAAGTAAAGTAAGCGAGCATCCTGACTCTGAGCTGAGCTGCCCTGTCGTGCTCTGTCTAAGGTTCATAATGGCCGAGCTGATTCAAACTGAAAAGGCTTATGTGAGAGACCTCCGGGAGTGTATGGATGTAAGTAAGTTTTTTTTACTTGTTCATTTAGATTGAGTTTAACTTTGCTCTTCTTTTCCAACCTTCTGGTGGTTCTTAGAACAGTCACAGATTTTGAGTCATGCTTCTCTCTTCTGTGAAGTTCTAGGCGCGTTTTGCACTCCTGACAGAGATGATACAGCATTCATCAACTCATTTTACTTGTCACATGGTGGCCCAGCTGACACACTCTTTGTAAGAATTTTGCAGCAGCTCCAGACAAATGCGTCTGCTAATTGTGATGCAGCTGAACCTCAGGAGTATTGTGATTAGAATTTGTTGTACCTTGTTGGAATAGGTTAATTTTAAAATTGGAAGCTGAGAATAAGTTTAGGCTGAAAAATATAAGAAGTCCTGTCAAATGTTAATAGCAATTGAGGGCTTTTTTAAAAGAAGAGTTTCTCATGTTTTATGAAAGGTTCCATTCTTAGATATGTCTTCATTTACACATTAACTCTGAGTATGTATTTATAATGTCAGGAATAGCTGTTTTTGAAATGTTGACATTGACTTTTATCTCCTTCCTGGGCAGACCTACTTGTGGGAAATGACCAGTGGAGTGGAGGAGATCCCTCCTGGCATCGTAAACAAAGAGCTCATTATCTTCGGAAACATGCAGGAAATCTATGAGTTTCATAATAAGTGAGTGGCTTCATCTTTTGAAAGTGTATATTTCTGCTATCTGAATGTTGTGCTAAAGTTTCATCATTAAACAATTGAACTATGCAGATTTCAGTGGTTTTTGTTGAAATTTAAATGAAGCCTATCAGTCTTTCTCCAGAAAGACTAACATTCTAGTGACTCCTTAATATAGACTCATTTTTATGGTTGTACTTGCATTCTACAGCATTATGTTCTGGGACAATTGAAAATGTTTGTGTAGGAATCCCAGCTTCTCTCAGGTCACTTTTTAGGGGTAGAGGAAAAAAAGAGCTCCCCACACAGGGCTGTTGGCTGCTGCAGTTCGGTCTTTTATAAAGGACAAGAGGAGGAACTGAGGAAGGAGCAAGCGTGGTCCAACCAACATAAAACATTGTGTATCAGCCAGAGGAGGCTCATGATTTTATGTATTATATTATTTTAATTTTTTATTCATGCATAACATTTGCACATATTTATGAGTGTGATGCTTTCATTCGTGGATACATTGTATAGTAGTCAACTCAGAGTGTGTTGCATATCCGTTACCTTAAACTTTTCTTTATGGTGAATATATTCAAGTTGTTCTCTTCTATTTTGAGATATTTAATGCATAATTGTTAATCAGATTCACCTCGTCAAGCCATAGAACACTGGTACTCTATCAAACAAGAGCATGTGTCCCATTGACCCACGCCTCCCCTCCTGCTGTTCCCAGCCTTTAGTAACCACTGTTCTGCTGTGAACTTCACCAGATCACCTTTGTTAGATTCCAATAATGAGAGAGATGGAGCGGTATTTGTCTCGCTGTGCCTCACTTACTTAACCTAATTTCCTGCAGGCCCATCCCTGTGGTCACAAATGACAAGATCTCATACCTTTTTCTGGCTCTCATTTACAAAAGCTACAAAAGAAAGCCCTAGGAATAAGTATAACTAAAAAGGTGAAAGATCTCTACTACAATAACTACAAACCACTGATGAAAAAAATGAAACAGGATACAATTAAATGGAAAGATAGTTCATGTTGATGGATGAGAAGAATTGATACTGTTAAAATGTCTGTACTGCCCAAAGTGATCTACAGATTCATTGCAGTCACCATCAAAATATCCATGATATTCTGCACAGAATTAGAAAAGACATCTCAAAATTTGTATGATTTTATTTTTAAGATTTAAAGAAAGCAACAGGGATGCACATTCCTTTCAGTAGAGTTGTGCCAACATTGGGCCCCACTGATGGGTCTGCTCAGCTCCCCCACTCACCTCAGCCAAAGGTAGGGAAATGCTAGATGTGTCTCCTGATTGAATGTTTACATCCCTGAATCCCATACTTATCTCTGGATACTAGCATCTTCCCAGAAGTAAGTTGCTGGGTTGAGTTCTGTCAGAAGTCTAAGTGCTTTACTGATTTGAAAGACTAACTCACCCTTATTAAGAGCTACTAATTTGTTCTTCAAATCTAGATGTCACAGATATTTTTCATTTCCAGCATATCTTGCTAGTGAAATGTTTAAAAAACCCCTTTATAATATGATAATGTTTTATTCTCTACAGCATCTTCCTAAAAGAGCTGGAAAAATATGAGCAGCTGCCAGAGGATGTTGGACATTGTTTTGTTACCTGGGTAAGGAAACCTCAGCAGCTTGTTCCCTGGGCCAAGCATTGTCCATAGAGTCACAGAGTTTCACCCAGACCACTGTGGGACGGAGAGGTAGATGCCAGCCTGGCTCACCACAGGGGGAGGTTTTTAGGGTTGCTTTTCTTCTCTCTTTTCTTTTCTTCACTTTGCTTTTCTTTTTCTACTACTACTGGGAATTGAAGCCAGAGGTACTCTGAGCTACATCCCAGCCCTTTTTTGTTTTCTAAGACAGGATTTCATTAAGTTGCCTAGGCAGGGCACAAACTCTTCCTGTGCTGGGATTACAGGTGTATACCACTAGACCTGGAAGATTTCTTTTAGTTAAGGCTTACATTGTTTTATCCACACAACTTCTTTCCTGTGTTAAAGGTTATCACAGTGACGTATTGGAGTTCTAACATGTTTTTGTTTTGTTTCTCTATAGGCAGACAAGTTTCAGATGTATGTCACATATTGTAAAAATAAGCCTGATTCTACTCAACTAATATTGGAACATGCAGGGTCCTATTTTGATGTAAGTAATCGATTACTAAAGAAGCTGTGAAATTTTCCAATTTTCATTTTGTATACATAAAATACAATACTACTCATAATTGTACCTAATTTCTGGTGCAATATTTTATTTTCTTTATCATATTATATTGGGATATGCTTATAGTGTCTTCTATTTCAATAGATCCTACTTAAGTACTGGAAGCCCCATATCTATAGCAAGTTGATTTTAACACACACATATGTGTGTATATGTATATCATTACTTACTCTTTAGATGCAACCATGAATTTTTACAAATAATATATGCATAGAAGGTATAAACTGAAAATAAGCTTCCCTGTATAAAACAAAAATAGCTGCCAGTTTTAAATTATTTATTTTATTTTAATTTCATATGTTTTAAATTCTCCAAAGTGATCTACCCATAGGATTTTAGCCCTGTAAAAGTGAGATTCCATTAAATACTTACATTCTCATTGAGTGAGCATAGAGTCAGGTCCTCTGTTTCTTGAAAGAAACAGGGATTTGTACAACAGCAGATGGAGCCTTATGACGTAATATACAAAAAACCTTTAGGTTTTTGCAGTTGAGTCAAATGTGTGCCAAATACATTTTGATTTATGATAAAGTACTTTTGGGTGGTATATATATTTTGTTGTGTGAGGCTATGAGGACATTGGACTTATTTTTCTGTCATACTTGTGTAAGAAAATGTAATCATGCCTTCTTAATTGAAAGTCTGAGAAATGAGAATAAACCTTAGTTTGTATCTTTGAGACAAAACCTGGCTGTAGGTGACCGTACTTTAGTTGCCATTCTTACAGAACAGTGATTATACATCACTGACTTTGAACACACAAAGCCTGTTGCCACCCTACTGCTGTGTTGTTTTTTGAATATGTCACATGAACCCTCGTCTTCAGCACTGTGGCTACATGCAGACTTGGTATTATTTAAGCCTAAGCAGTGAGAGTGTGTGGCACATTTAATGTCTGGAATCAAAGCCATTTAAAAACTCACGTATCTGAAAATATGTCTTTAAGAATGAAGGAAATAATTCTGCTCTGAAAGATTTCACATGCCTTCAGCATTTATTTCTTGGACTTCAGTTAAACTTCTTCTTAGCAACAAGCCCTGCTGATCATTCATCAGGTGCTCCTCTAGCACTCAGCTCTGTCATTGGTGTTGAACCGCAGTGAGACATCTGAGCAACCAGCAGCTGTGTCTGTGTGAGTGACGTAACTGTAAATGCAAAGCGACGATCCTCCCCTTCACCCCAGTTCTCTGCCCTCATCCTGTCCAAAGTAAAATGTCAAGAAGTTTTAGAAATATTCCAATAGCCTTTTTAAGAAGTAGGAACTTTTTTCTTTCATCAAGATTGAACATTTTGAGGCATTTGGAAAATGAATATGGTATTATAGCTATGTTTTAATAGTGTGAGCCTGTGGTGAGATTTTGTTTTGTTTCTTTAAATACAGGAGATACAGCAGCGACATGGTTTAGCCAATTCCATTTCTTCCTACCTTATTAAACCAGTTCAGCGAATAACAAAATATCAGCTCCTTCTAAAAGTATGTATACAAAATCTTTAGCCTGCAAAATTATGTATTTCTATCTTGACATTTTCTTCTCTATGTATATTGCCTTGAATTTTTAAAAATAATACTTTACAAGTTAATTTACCAGTTCTGTTCCTTGGCATTTCTTGTCCTGCCTAATTTCTCTTTGCAGCATTTAAATTAGAGCATGTTCTTTGACTACCTGTCCTGCACTGACTGGCTCTTTCTAACATGAAACAAGATACCAGAGGGAAGCTGTTGGCTCTTGATCTCAGGTTCCCTTCCTTCCCAGTTACAGCACGCTGTCTGTGGCCGACACTGTGCCGCGTACTTGGCACGTGTTTACCTACAGCAGGTGTGGTGGTGACCCTGGGAGGGTTAGGAAGATACTCAGAGTCACTACCAGTACCTCCTGCCTGGACTTGGCTTTGAACCCGGCTCTGGTCAGTGCCCAGGCTTTCCTCTAAGTGTGTAGAGAAGCCTTTCTCACACCTTCCCTCTCTGTTGCTGCTCTTGGTTTATCACATGCACTTATGGAATGTTCATACAAATCGCAGATGTTTGAGCCAAATTATCCTTTGCTTTTTCGTGGTTATGCATGACTATGACTAAAATCGCACTTGAAAAAAATCTAATAGTGATTGGTTTTGACGATACAAAGGTAAAGAAAACCTAGAATTTGTGACATAAATTGTCACAAAATGTATTCCATGTCACCGATACACATTTTCTTGACTATATAAAGATGGTCTGCAGCTTGTCTGTTAATGTTTACTGTACCATTTCCTTGGCTGGTGAGTTTTATTAAGCAGTAGAACATTGAAACCAGCCATTAACCCCAGTAGCAATATTTTATGATCCTGCTGTGTCCCAAGTGCCATCCATCCTAGGCACTAAAATGTGTTACAGTATATTTCTAGATATAAAAGAAATCCAGAAGGATAGAATTGAAGCTCTTTATCTTCTGAAGCTCTTTATCCCCCTCTTTTCTTTGCAAAAAACAAGAAACAAACAAAAAAAAATCCAGGAACAATTTGAATTAACTGCATCCTTTTGTGCAAGTGACACTATAACCATAAGACTTTTCTAATGGGAAAACTTGTACTTTGCCAAGCCGTGTGCATGGTGGGCAAGCACTCTACCACTGAGCCACAGTCCCAGTCTCTCTCTCGTGCGTTTATGTTCAAGTCTCAGTAAGGGATTTTATGATCAGGACTGCAGAAGTACGTGTTCTTGCTATGAGCATGAAGTAAAAGTCAGGGAACTAATTTGTTTATATTAAGATTTTTCCTTTACTTTCTAGTTCTGCAAAGGCAATTTACTCTTTGGTGTCCTCAAGACTTAAGGATTTTGTTTTTAACCTGTGGCTCTACTAAGCTAGTGATTCCATTTATAAACTTCACCTCGTTCTGCCCAGAGGTCCTTCGGGGCAACGTTAGTGAGCTGCATGGAGCTCCCCAACAAGTGACGTTCTCTGCCAGCGAAGGTAGCTTTGGCACATTGCATTTTTAAAGCAGTTTTTGCTGAGCTGCTCAGAGTGATAAACATCATCTGGTCATGAGTAAAGGTGCTTATCACATAACTGAGTACTCTGAAATGTTCAGCCTGAGGCCAGAGCCGACCACCCTTCCTCTCTTCTGTTGATTACCAGATTTCAAACTTGGTGTTACTATTTGTAACTGATCATAGTCATTAACACCCCAGTAAGAAATACCTCAGTGGCACTGGGCCTGCCTTGTAAGTGCAAGGTTCTGAGTTCAGTCCCCGGTACAGCCAAAAAAAAAAAAGAAAGAAAATACCTTAGCGCCTATGAAAAGGAAGACTTATTCTACCTGCTGTTATCCATTCAGTGTTCTTCTTAAGTAGCCTGACCTGTACATGCTCACACATGTCTTCCTGGGGCCGTGTGATTGCCTTGTCAGAGCTCTCATAAACCCGCACACAGGAGTGCTGTGCGATGGTAGGTGCTCATGTTTGTCACCCTTGCTGCTGCAGGGTTCTGGGTGACTGGGTGGGCATTGTGTTGATGACACCAGAGTGCAAAACCAGGCTGGGGTCATGCGGTCAGCAGAGTCGGACTCTGGGTACAGAGTCAGCTGTGCTCACTAGCTGGTTATGCATTCATGTACCAATTAATCTTTTCACTTAATGTTTTGGTACTTGGTAGTTAACAGGTCTACTAATTTCTGCTTGAACAATGACCACCTGTGGCTTACTTTGATTTCCTGATTTGAGCAGGACAAACCCTGCCATCCATTGAATAGAGGCTATAATTCACCTTTAGTGAGATGTCCAGTTGACCAGTCTGCATTTATCTTGCGAGCCACCGATTTTCATAGATTCTTTCATTTCTATGAAGATCTTGTGGGTGGTGCATTTTTCAGTCCTGCCTCAATTATAGTCTTGGTCTTTCGTAGGAGCTGCTCACGTGCTGCGAGGAAGGCAAGGGGGAAATTAAAGATGGCCTGGAGGTGATGCTCAGTGTGCCAAAGCGAGCCAACGACGCCATGCACCTCAGCATGCTGGAAGGTAACAGGACTCCACTCCCTAACTTGCATCTGCGTGGCTTCCTCTTTCTGCTTCTGTAGACCAATTTCTCCTTCTCTGACGTAAACCATGAGAGTTCAACAGCTCTTCATGATGTCATCAAGGGCTTAGGCTGTGTTCCAACTTATTTCTCTCCATCCTGATGTTGTTCTGTTTCGCTAGGTTCAGGATGTTTTGGATCACGTTAGCATTCCATCTAGGAAGAAGTGGGGAAGGAAGGTGGGTAGAGAAACCCCAGATGAGCAGATGCTGCCAGTGTACCCAGTGCCCGCCTCACTTGTCCAGAGCAGGGTGCCTAGCTACTCCTACCTACAAAGAGGGCTGGGGAATAGAGTGCCTATTTGCAGCCTTCGAGGCAGCTTCTGCTGTGGAGGAGGAGAACGACCATGGGAGACAGTGAGCAGCCTCTGCCCCAGATATCACTTGCTAAGCCCTGGTGGCCGCTTTCACAGTGAGAGGAGCAAGTAGGAAGGCAGTGTGTGGCCAGCAGAGGGCGGAAGTACATGCAGAGTGTCCCAGACTCACAGAGGATGGCTGGACAGGGTGTCTCCAAGAGGCCAGGCCAGACAGGGCTCGAGAAAAGGCTGGGACTTGAGCAAAGTGTCTGGGAAGGGTGTTCAGGCTGAGAAAGCAAGAGGATCAGGACTAGAGTGAAATGTGGGCAGTGTGGGAGCTACTGCAGATGGAGGAGGTGATTCCATGGGGGAAGAGAGTGCGGAGTGGGGAGAAGTGGTGGCCAAAAAACGCTCTCACGTGGTGTGAGTGCCAACTGAACTTGTAGCTGGGGCTACAAAGGAATCACTGGTTTTTTTGAACAAGGGAAAATACATAGAAAATGGTGCTTACGAAGAATTACTGTGTCCTTCGTAGTTGGTTAGAGGTTCAGAGACTAGATTCCAAAAATCAGCTGATAAACTAATTGAGGCCTAATTGATGAGCGTCTTGCCAATGTTATAATACTTTCCTGAGCATCATATTTTATTGCTGTGTTTAGTTTTCTTTTACATTGATTTGCCTGCTCTTGTCATGTTGCAGGGTTTGATGAAAACATTGAATCTCAGGGGGAGCTCATCCTGCAGGAGTCCTTCCAAGTGTGGGACCCGAAAACCTTAATTCGAAAGGGTCGAGAACGGCATCTCTTCCTTTTTGAAATGTCCTTAGTATTTAGTAAAGAAGTAAAAGATTCCAGCGGGAGAAGCAAGTACCTTTACAAAAGCAAATTGTTTGTAAGTATAGAACTTCAGAATTCCAAGTTCACAAATAACAAAATTTCAGCCTTTTTGTAGGTGGGGAAAAAACCATCATTTGTTGTCTTCTATTTAACCTCTCAAGCTATTCTGAACTGTCTTCACCTTTAATGAAATTCTCCTCCACCCCCAAGTCCACTAGGGGGCAGGGTGGAGTTTCATAACAGGAAACTTGCTCTTCATAAATAACAGTGTCTAACATAGAACAGGAAAACACTTTGTGAGTGATTTGAATTGTACCCTGTGTGCCTTAACTTGGCTCTCATGTTGTAATTAATTTTGAACCCTTAGACATTTGGATATATCCAAGCAGCCTTACTGGGTGGCTCACGGTTGAGGTTTTTTGTTTTTTGTTTGTTACAAGGATCCAACTACATCTCTATCCACTTTAAATAGTTTTTTGAGATGGCATCTCACTAAGTTGCCCAGGTGGAACTCGAATTTGGTGAACCTCCTGCCTCAGCCTTCCTAAGTGCTGGGATTATGTGCATACACCACCACCACCCCTGGCTTTACTGTAGATTCTTAATGATGAAATTTGATCTTTTCATTAAAAGTAAATTTGTGAAAGGTAAATGTACACATTTATGGTGTTGGTGGTTGTTGTTGTTGTTGTTGTTGTTGTTGTTGTTGGTTGTTGTTGATGTTGTTGTTGTTATTTTTGTTGGGTACCAGGGATCGAGCTTGGGACCTTGTGCTTGCAGGGCAGATGGTGGCACCACTGAGCTAAATCCCTGGCCTAGATTTTTTTTTTTAATAAAGTATTATTAGAGAAAGTGAATGTAAACAGAAGTAAAGTTTGAAAGATCTGTACCCCCATCTATGTAAAGATAGGTCCCTGAGCGCTTGGCAGATGCAGTAATGCATTTAAATTATTGTCCAACCTGCCAGTGTTCTTCAGGTGAGATAAACATACCTGGTACCGCTGCCCTCTGAAATCTCATATTTACTCTCAGAAAAGCCCAGTGCCAGGGTGTCCTCCAGGTCCCCTGCACGCCAACCTGAGGGCCGTCCACACAAAGAATTGCTTACTAGGGCCAGATGAAAAGAAGCTTGGGTGGGTGACACTGAGGAGAAAGCACCATCTGCAGAAGAATAAAAACTGCCAAAATTGGGTTGTTCAGTGGCAAATTTCTTTTAAATGTTGGTTAATATTTGGAATTTGCACAGCTCACACATTAAACATGTATGGTATCTGTGTATTAATCAGACTCCTCAAATCATAAATGCCCCCGAGTATAGAAATCATTTCAGTAATACAAAATTTGCGAGTTTGAACAAATATTGTCATGCCAGTTTCTATAGCTGACATCCTGCTTGAGATTATCTTTGGATCGCAGGTTGCCTGACATAATTTTGGGTCACATTCTGACTGGAAAGGAAAAATGCAGCATCGTTGGCCTGTAATTTCACTAGCTGGATTTCATCTGCCCTTAGAGACCAAGCTAGCCTATTATAAAAGCTGATCCATCTTCACTTAATTTATCTTTTAAAAGTTAAGATTCCCACAGAGACTACCTTCAGAGCTCAAGATTATGAGTCATTTCCTTTGCAGGAGGGAGGTTGCATTGGGGGTAAAGTTGGTGTGGAGGCGGGGCTGAATGTTAGCCCTAATCTGCACTCTTCTGGGCTATAAATGTATCACAGAGAGGGACTTTGTCTCTTAACCCTTTAAGTTATTGGTGAAATACAAGAAGTTAATGCTGTTGATTAAAAAAATAGAAAATAACTAAAGAGTTAAAACATTGCCTTCTGAGAAACTGTCATTAATGTTGAAAATTCGTGTTAGCAGCCCTCTTGGAGCTAGCAAAGACTCATATTGTTGGTGGTAAGATTGGAAACAGTTACCTCTTGCTTTTCTAGGTATATACAGTAACGCTTTCAGATTTTTTGTTTCCCTCCTTTGTTCTGCTTCTTGACTTACATTGGGATTTCCAGTAGAAGTCTAAGAAGGTGAAGGAAGAAAACAATCACATGTGATTTAAGGACAAAATTTCCTCATTTCACTAAAAGGAAGTCTAAGTTTTACCTATTAATGCAAAGGAGTTAGTTCTAATAACCTGGTATGACTAGTAACCAAAGCCTGTTTTGTTCTGCATCCTGTCAGAATTTTACTGTCACCTAATTTTATAATTGTCTTTTATCTAGACCTCAGAGTTGGGTGTCACAGAACATGTTGAAGGAGATCCTTGCAAATTTGCACTATGGGTAGGAAGGACGCCAACTTCAGATAATAAAATTGTGCTTAAGGTATGTTCATTTAAATCTGGGGAATGCGCTATATGAAAAGTTTTATCACCACCGTGTATGCTGTTTTTCTTGTTGAAATATGCGGGGTTTCCATAATTGTGTGTGTGTGTGTGTGTGTGTGTGTGTGTGTGTGTGTGAGTGTTATTCTATTGGTTTAGTAACTATCATAAAAAGAATACTGCAATAAATGCACTTTGGTACTCTGGTAATGAAATAACTTGAACTAAACATTCATTTGTCTCCCAAAAGAGCAAATGATGAAAGATATGTTTAAATCTCTCCTATTACTCTAATCATAGAAAGAATTGGTTGATTCTTTTAGCTGGGTAGGAAGTTGAAGAATGAGGGGAATAAGATACAAACCAACAATACTTGTTACACACTTGACCTTGAGTTTCCAAAGGGGAAAAACACCTGGTGTATTTATGAGAACCTTTGGCAGGAAGTTGAGGCCAACTGTGCCACAAGTCATTACAGGGTTCTTGGCTCTTTTGCTTTCTGGTTTGGGGACAAAGCAAAAAGGCAGATGATTATCAGTGACATTGTGTGAAATTCAAAGGCACAAAGGGTGCTTTGGGATATCTAGTGTTTTGGGGAAGAAAATATCTTTGAACATTGGATTTGACTCGGCTCTGAGTATACTGACCTCTCCCTGGGAATGTCAAAGACCTTTAAAGGTGTCTTGTGTACTTCCCTCCTTATACATTTGAGAAAATACAGATAGAACTGTCTTTTTAAGCTGTCAGGATAGACCATAAATGGATTCAGGATGTTTTGGGAAAGGTGAAGCTGAAGATTTATAGAATATTGGAAGTGAGCCAGAAATATAATGGGACTCATGTGTGAACTTGATGTGAGCCGTGGTGTCCATCGCATACCTTCTAATGTCTCTTCAGTATTTGCAGCAACTCTGAGTTGTTCAGCTGTATGTCAGTCTTTCAGAGCCTGTTCTTTAGGGACAGCTGGCTGTGCAAGCCATTGTCGTGTTTAGGTCTTCACTTACACGTTAACGATGGGTTGTTTTGCAGTGAAGGTATGATTACCAACCCAAGGTGTTCTTATTAGTTCTTTGTTAGCCCTGTAAAGTATAAATTGCACTGCTAGCTAAATTTTAGATAAGTGAAAGTATATTGAGGACCTTAAAACTCCATTTTATATAACACATCCAGATGAACAGTAGAGGCGGATGCCAAAAAGTGCTGCTAAGAAATAGTGCTAGACATGCACTGCTTTCATTTAGGATAGACTAAAATGCTCCTAATGCAGTTGAAGTATAAGACTTACAGCAGGCTTCACTAGATGAAAATTTTCTAGGGAAGTTTAGGTGACTTCTCTGACTTTCAAGGAGTTGGAGGGAAAGATGTGTGTTCGTCTCGGAGCGTGCACTGTGGCATCGCTGGTGGCAGAGGCAGTGCTGAGATGATGATGTACGCGGGGTGGTGCTGGTAGAGACTGGCATAGATGGCGGTGAGTGTAGGTGTGAACGTGCAGTTACTGTGAACAGTGTGAGCACA